ACTGTATGCATCAAATGAGTGATAGTGTTTTTTCGGGCATATTATGTATTTATATTAAAAATTAATGCAGCCGCCGCTACTCAAATTAATAGTTGAATGTGGCGTTCACCGAAACGGGGCGTGGTCAAGCTTGACGTCACATCAGTCGACTCGGTGACAAGGGAATGCTGGCGAATAAGCGAAATACATAATGTGCTAAAGCCGTAGAAAGCAAGTTGTGTGTTGTTTATTGCAGTGAGTCAACTGCGTGAATATGAATAATGATAAAAAAGGACGTTACATCGTTCCTAAATGCAAGAATTTTCCGGTAACTGCACCAGACAAAATTTTCATTTCATTGCCAAGTAACTTAAAATCACGAAAGTTATGGCAGCGCGCTATGCGGAGGACCGACTTTGTATCTGCCAAGAGGACGCATTTTTGATAATGATAATGAATAAAAAAAATATTTTAGTTGAAAAAGACTTAGAAAATTACTTGTACCAATATCAAAACTATGAAAGTCGTAAAAATTATATTGGAACCAGGCGTAATTCCGCATATATTTGATTGCCAGATTGATAGACCGACGGCCTATACATCTAAAGCTTCACCATTTGTTAAAAAAAAATTAAAAATAAATTTTGTTAAGCAGGTACTTGTAACGAAGATATTACTGAAAATCAATGCATGTCTGATGAAGCATATACACAGGAAAATACCTTTGATGTTGGAATTCAAGTTAATAAACATGTTTTCCGAAGATCTAAAGCTACAGCGCTTATGTAGTCCCTATTGTTGTTGAAATATTCCATCACTATGAAAATATCGACTTCAGGTAAATTACCCGAATCATCTCTACTCAAGCTGAACACATAATGGTCCTCAACTTTTAAATTGTTTTAAAAACAAAAGAATTCAAAAATACGTAACACGTGGTTTTTTCAAACGCAAACCAGCAAATGAAACAAAATGCGACGATGGCAGCGATTCATAGTCTCCAACTACAGGTCTGGTTGCCACTGCTCGAAGCTCGTTGCCTGGTGTGACGTCAAGATGCACCGCGGGCGATCTCACATTTTCAATTGCTCTTGCTCAGTTGTTAATTGACATACAAACCGAAAAATTTTGTGGTATACTTGGGAGATGTTTTACTTTTATAATATATAATTTTCAATAAAAAACTAAATTAGCCTGAATGAGTCCATATCCAATGTNTGAACTCACTAATCAAATCGATCAACTACCTATCTCTCAAACCGACGAAACTCCCCATTCTTTATCACAAGAAGTAGCCAATGATGGAATTCCTATTCGAGATGATATAATCAATAATAAAATATATCAAATTCACGTTTTAAAAAATAAACAAAATAAAATATCTCTTCAACAAGAAACATATGGTATTCATAAAATTTCAACAGTAAAACTACCTTCAGAAGAAAATGAACTCTTGATTTTTAATTTCATGAAAGATTATTTGAAACCGAATATTAATTACTTCATATATTTTGAAAATGCTCAACTCATGAAAAATTTCACAAAAGTGTACTCTGAAAATTTTAGCAAACAGACTCTAAAATTAATCAGGTGTACAAAACTTGTCAACACTATAAAAGGTCAGGACGAACAAATCCTCTTGATGAAAAATCATCACGAAGGAAAAACAAATCATCGCGGAATCGAAGAAACTTTACAATATCTAAAAAGAAATTATTATTGGATAAATATGAAACAAACTATTACAAATTACATTAATTCATGTGATATTTGTCGAAGAACAAAGTATTCTAGGCAAAATCCATATGTACCTTTAGTTTTGACAGAAACTCCTTCAAAACCTTTTCAAATAATTCACATCGATGCTTTCTTTTTCGACGGCCAAATATATTTGACAATTATTGACTCTTTTTCTAAATTCGCTCAAGCATATATAATCGAGATGATTGCCAAAAAGTAATAAATTATCTAACTGGAATCCAAGATATTTGATACATGACACAATTTCAATGTTCTCATTATCGATTTGTAGATTTATTTCATTTAAATCAAGGTTGTTCCATTTATATTTTTTTTGTAATAATCATTCCTTTGGTTTTCATTTTATTCAGTTTTCATTTATTTGCCATGAGGTACTCATTTACATCCTTCAATGCGGCATTCATTTTATCAATAGCTTTATTTAAGCTTGTATCGAAGCATGCCAATAGTGTATCATCTGCAAATAAATTTATAAAATCAACCTTTATAAACAAGTTTGTCATTTAAGTATAAGATAAAAAGCAGAGGTCCTAAAACGCTACCCTGAGGCGCACCTATATGTATATCCAATTCCTGTGAGATGTTATCTTGAACTCTGGCTTTTTGCTTTCTATGGAATAAATAGTCATATAACCATTGATAAACATCACCATCAATGCCACAACCTCTTAATTTTATTAGAAGAATATTACGATCAATTGTTTCAAACGCCCTCTTGAGATCAAGAAAAACAGCTACTACAAATTTATTGTTATCAACTTCTTTTTTGAATTCAGATAAAGTGAGTTGTAGTGCGGACTCACACGAATATTTTTTAAGAAATCCAGATTGATTATTTATTAAAATTTCATTTTTTTCAACATGCTTATAAACAGCTAGTTCAAGAATTTTTTCTATTGGTGGTAATGTGACATAAAAAAGTCCCCCCTTCTTCACCCCCTAAACGTGACAGCCAACCCCCAATTTCTTTAAATACAGAAGGGGGTCAAGTGATACTTCATTTTGAAGGGCATTCAATTTTCTGTACAGCCATATCTTTATTTTTCAATTTCGTGCATGCGTCAAAAACAATAATTGAATAAATTATGTTATCTAAATCATTTATCAAAACGATAGCAATCAATGTGCAACTAATGGAAGTCTTCAGATCGAATGTTCAAACTGACAGCCA